GGTGAGGCAGGAGAATCGCTTACAGTGAGCTGAGATTGCACCACTGCACTCCAGCCTGGTCAACAAGAGCAAAAACTCCGTCTAAAAAAAAAAAAAAACTGGTTTAAATATACAAATTTTCATCCAAAACTTTCACCTTAATGCCATTAGCTCTTGCATTTCTATATCCTCTCAATCTAGTTGTGACTCCCATTAGGACTTTGTTTTCTTTTTTTTTTTTTTCCTTTTTTTGAGACACAGTCTCACTCTGTTGCCCAGGCTGGAGTGCAGTGGCGTGATGTCGGCTCACTGCAACCTCATCCTCCCAGATTCAAATGATTCTCCTGCTTCAGCCTCCTGAATAGCTAGTATTACAGGCATGCGCCACCACGCCCAGCTAATTTTTTGTAGTTTTAGGAGAGGTGGGGTTTTACCATGTTGGCCAGGCTAGTCTCAAACTCCTAACCTCAAGTGATCTGCCCACCTCAGCATCCCAAAATGCTGGGATTACAGGTGTGAGCCCGGCCCCATTAAGACTTTCAGTAGTAGGTGGGGGAAGTGTTCCGGTCAGACATAGTATCTATTCCCATGAAACATTCAGGTAAAGGAGACACAGCCTCTTCACATAAAGTCTGTTTAAACTCTCCAGTTTTCATTCAAACTTTCACCTTTCTTCTACCAACGCTTGCACTTCTGTACTCTCTCGATTTAATTGTAGTCTCCTTTAGGACTTCACCAGGGGGTTTTGGACCAAAGTACATGGCACTTTTGCATCAAGGTGTCTAGAGTCTTCTCCTCTCTACCCCCTAACCATTTTGCCTATTCATGTGCTTAAGGTGTTGGGTCTGCAGCTCAGAATTGAGCCAAGGAACCCAGGCTCTTTCCTGAATCTTTTTCTTGATTAAATTGGTAGACCATTGCTCCAGGTAATTCAAGATCAGGTTTCTTTTTGCCATCTTTGCCTTTCTGCTTTCCAAATTCTTCCAAACTAAGATGAATAAAGCAGATTTGCTTAGCACTCTTAAATTTTGGGGCACTAGCAGGACCGCCCCATTGGTCCACCCAACCTCTGTGTTTTGATCCCAGACTCCCACGCTGCTATGATGAGTCCCTTGACTCTCTCCTTTCTCTTTCCCTTTCATTTTACCCCCATCATCATTTGCTTTTTCACCCCATTTCTTTAAAAAACAACCAAAAAAACTTTTGTTTTAGGTTCAGGGTACATGTGTAGGTTTGTTACATTGGTAAACGTTGTGTCATAGGGGTTTATTGTACAGATTATTTCATCACCTAGTTACTAAGCCTAGTACCCAATAATTATTTTTTCTGATCCTCTCCCTCCTCCCACTCTTCACCCTCAAGCCCCCAGTATCTGTTTCCCTCTTTGTGTCCATGAGTTCTCGTTATTTAGCTCCCACTTATAAGTGAGAACATGTGGTAATTGGTTTTCTGTTTCTGCATTAGTTTGTCAAGGATAATGGCCTCCAGCTCCATCAACATTCCCGCAAAGGACATGATCTATTCTTTTTTATGGCTGCACAGTATTCCATGGTGTATATGTACAACATTTTCTTTATCAGATCTGTCATTGATGGACATTTAAGTTGACTCCATGTCTTTGCCATTGTGGATAGGTGTTGCAGTGAACATTTGCATGCATATGTCTTTGTGATAGACTGATTTATATTCCTTTGGGTATACACCCAGTAATGGGATTGCTGGGTTGAATGGTAGTTCTGTTTTTAGCTCTTTGAGGAATTGCCACACTCCTCTCCACAATGATTGAACTAATTTACACTCCCACCAACAGTGTTAAACTATTCCCTTTTCTCCACAACTCACCAGCATCTGTTATTTTTTGACTTTTTAATAATAGCCATTCTGACTGGTATGAAATGGTATCTCATTGTGGTTTTGATTTGTATTTCTCTAATGATCAGTGATACTGTGCTTTCGTTCATATGTTTGTTGGCCACATGTATGTCTTCTTTTAAGTTCCTGTCCTTTGCCCAATTTTTAATGGTTTTTTTTTCTTAAAAATTTGTTAAGTTCCTTATAGATGTTGGATATTAGAGTTTTGTCAGATGCACAGTTTGCAGAAATTTTCTCCTATTCTGTAGGTTGTCTGTTTACTCTGTTGATAGTTTCTTTTGCTGTGCAGGTCTTAAATTTAATTAGATTCTATTTGTCAATTTTTGCTTTTGTTGTGATTGCTTTTGGCGTCTTTGTCATGAAATCTTTCCTTGTTCCCATGTCCAGAATGGTATTGCCTAGGTTGTCTTCCAGGGTTTTTATAGTTTTGTTTGCTGTGTTTTCTTTCTTTTTTTTTTTTTTTTGAGATGGAGTCTCGCTCTGTCACCCAGGCTGGCGTGCAGTGACGTGATCTATGCTCACTGCAAGCTCCACCTCCCGGGTTCACGTCATTCTCCTGCCTTGGCCTCCCAAGTAGCTGGGACTACAGGCGCAGGCCGCCACGCCTGGCTAATTTTCTATATTTTTAGAAGAGACGAGGTTTCACTGTGTTATCCAGGATGGCCTCAATCTCCTGACCTTGTGATCCGCCCGCCTTGGCCTCCCAAAGTGCTGGGATTACAGGCGTGAGCCACCAAGCCCGGACCACACTGTATTTCTTAATAACTGTTTAAAGATTTTTTTTCCCAGTTTGAATGAGTTTCTAGACACTTCCCTCTGTCTGTCCCCATTCTGTTATGGATCATTTTAGTCTTTTTCATGATTTGTTTCAGCATAACTTTTTCCTTTGAAAATGACTCTGAGGCTAGTGCCTGTTCCTTGAACTGGCAAGAATCCAGTATCTTTCCCAACACATTCGTTCCTTCATTTGGGGCCCTGAGGCTAGAGGCCATAATTTAGACTGGCCAGAATTTATATTTGATTCATCTCTTCCTTTCATTTTTAGCTGTTATATTATAGATAGCAATTACCAAGAGATTGTATATTTCTCTTTTTTCTTACTGTTTTGCATTTTCCTATGCATTTAGTGAGCCAGTTCCCAGAAGATGTATGCATCATCTCTAAATTTCATCAGTAACTTTTGCCTCCAATAACTGATTGCAGCTGTTTCATATCCTGGGGGACCCCATAGCCACTGAGGAATCAGAAGTTCTTCATCCCTGCCCTTTCATCCTTTCTCTTCCCAAACCATATGTTTCAGTAACCTGATACCAACTATTCCATTTTCATCTCAACTGGGTATACTGCAATTCATTTCTACACTACCCAGAGTTAATGCAGACACCAAAGCTTAAGGGCACAGTCTTCCACAAGACTGCTCCTATTTCAGATGACAGTCACAAGTCTAACGCTCCCCCAACCCCACTGCAGCTGCCTACTTTTCTGACCAACTAGCTGCAAATTCAGGGATTCCCACAATGCCTTCAAGTTTGATAATTCACTAAAATGACTCACAGAACTCAGGAAAGCTATACTTATTATTACAGTTTTTTTTTTTTTTTTTTTTTTTTTTTTTTTTTTTTTTTTGAGACGGAGTCTCGCTCTGTCGCCCAGGCTGGAGTGCAGTGGCCGGATCTCAGCTCACTGCAAGCTCCGCCTCCCGGGTTCACGCCATTCTCCTGCCTCAGCCTCCTAAGTAGCTGGGACTACAGGCGCCCGCCACCTCGCCCGGCTAGTTTTTTGTATTTTTTTAGTATATAAAGGATGGACACAGAGTTTCTGTGCCCTCTCCTCTCAGGACACATCATCTTCCCAGCTCATCAATGTATTCAGTAACCAGGAAGCTCCACTGAGCTTTGGCATTCAGAATTTGTATGGGGTTTTATTACATTGGCATGGTTAATTAAATCATTGGCCACATGATGAACCCAGTCTCGAGCCCGCTTCCCATCTCCAGAGACTGGGAACCTGAAAGTTCAGACCCTCTAACCACATGCTTGATCTGATTATCAGCCCCTATCCTGAAGCTATCTAGGGGCCCACCAGGAGTCTCCTCACTAGCAATAATACAGATACTCTAATCACTCCGGAAAGTCTCAGCATTTTTGAAGCTCCAGGATGAAGACCAGATAAATTATTGATTATACCAGCATAGCATATTAATAACAGAAAACTGAACAGCACATAACATGTTGCCTGGCATTATAGTAGACATTCAACATGTTTTTCCTTTATGGAATATGATGGTCTATTGTTGGGGTCTAGAAACTGACACCCCAAAATATGGTGCTTTCACATGCTGTGCTGAAGTTCCCTTATCTACCTCTACTTCGGACCCACCAAAGAAGACAACAGTTCTCTCTGGTCCCTTCCTTGAGTTTTCATTAACTAAACTCATATTGCAGGAAGAAATACAGAAAGCTGTCAACACACCTGAGCAGACTTTTGTCACAAACCATTGTGTGCTCTGTGGGCCCAACAGACGGTTCCAGGCCACTGAATGTTCTTCATGCCCACTGAATTCCCTTAGAAATCATTTACTACCCATTCTAAAACCATCCACACTTCCCCATCTCCATTTCCCTTAAGAAGGGGAAGAAGTGGCTTTTAACCATCTGTACCCCATTGTATGGTAGGGTAATCACTCTCTGATTCTCCCCCATGTAAGTTAATAAAATTGTATACCATTTCTCCTATTAATCTGCCTTTTATGAGTTGATTTTCAGCTAACATTCAAAGGACAAAGAGGATGTTTTCCTTTGGCCTCTACTCTATGGTGTTGTATTAGTTTAAATCAAAGTTATCAGAATTATAAATTACATTCACATTTGGACTTCCCATTGTTGAGCATTGATGCCATACCATTAATAAAAATTCTAATTAGGGAATGTGTTTTAGAAAGAAGTATTCAGTTTTATTGTTTTCATAAGAAATGTGACCACATTAATAAATTAAAATTGGATGCTGCTGCTCTTCTGTGCTGAATTATTTAACTCTCTGTGGTCTAGAGAGGTAAATAATTTCTCATAAGGATTATAATAGTTTCACTGAATTTTACCAGTAAAAATTCTAATATAACACATTAATTAATGTTCTACTTTTTTTTCAAGTAATCTTCCTCTTTGAGGCGTCAACTGGAAAGCCTTTAGGTGATGGAAAGTTTCTTTCTCATAAGGTAATGAACATTAACTACTTCTAATGTAAATAGCCGCTGTTTATTTACTTCCTTTTCAAAATTAATGTTTTCATTTTAAAGACGACACAAAGGAATTAGTTTTTTATTTAAAGTCAATGTGCATTCTCCATTGACTGTTTCGCCTAAAAATGTCACAGTTAAAGACTAAGCACTGGTAAAGTTCGTGATAGGAAGCTATACATGCAAATTAGTTGAATAAAAGCATCTGACTTATATGTCTGTTGTCAAACTCTTCACTGCTTTTCAGTTGCATGTTCTTTTTTGATTAAAATTTTAGCACCTGTCAGTAAATAAAAATGTATTTGTGCTTCTAAATATCTTGCAGTTTTCTCATTGACCTATTCTTAGCCAGCATTTTCTTTAGGTTTTAAGACTGTAGTAAGAAATCTCTATACAAAGTACAAAAGACCCTGAATTTTAAGTTGTTTATTGGTTTCTGATTTTTAGCCTTAGAAAAAGAAGCACATTACGTTGAGTTATCCTTCTAAATTACTGATATGATAGGGTCTAGAGACACTTTTAGTTTTATTAATACTTCTAGTGAAATGTTACTCAAAATTATATATATTTTTTGTAATTAATTTTTTTTGTTTGTTTGTTTTTGGAAGAGACAGGGTTTCGCCATGTTGCCCAGGCTGGTCTCGAACTCCTGAGCTCAAGCAATCCACTCGCCTCAGCCCTGCAAAGTGCTAGGATTACAGATGTGAGCCACCACGCCTGGCCCTAGTTTTAAATTTGAATAACAAACACATTTATATGGTTCAAAAATCAAAAAGCATTAAAAAGTATACAGTAGTAGTCTCCCTACTATACCTATTTTTCATCACTGTAGTGCCTCTCCACCAAATAAGTAACCATTGTTATTAATCTCTTATATATTCTTCCAGAGATTTTTAGTGTTATGTACCAACAAAACTGATATATGTTCTCTTCCTCCCCTTTTACAAAAATGTAACAAACAGTTTTACACTTTGCTTTTTTCATGTAATACTCTCTTTCTGGAGATGGTTCCATATCTATACACAAAGTGCTTTCTCAACCCTTTTTCCTCCCACTGTATGGTATAACATTTTATGTATGTATCAGAATTTAAACTGTTTCCAATCTTTTGCCATTAATATTACAGTATTAACAAGATGAATTACCTTGCATATACATCTTCTTGTACATGTGCCAGTGTAACTGTGGGATCTATTCTTGAGATATTGTTGCTGGGTCAAAGGATATGAGAATTTGTAATTTTAATAAATATTGTAAAGTCATCTTTCAAAGAGAGTTTATCAGTTTACTTTTGCACTGGTAATATATGAGGTGCTTATTTCTCTATAACCTCTCCGTTATTGTCATTTTAAATCAAAACTATGTAAGCAGAGTTTTTCCTCTTCAGTAAGATTAAGCATATCAAAAGGAGTAAATTTTTCAGCTTTTCAAGATGCAGTCATTTTTGTTAGTAGGATTGAAAGGAGAATCAATTAATAAGGTTAAATATTTATTTTAAATTTATAACTCTTTCTATAACACTTTTCCTAAGTGTAAGAATTTTCTAAGAAATTTACAATTAAAATAATTTAATTGTAAATAAAATTTACAATTTACAATTTAATTTACAATTAAAATTAAGAAATTTATAATTTCCTAATTATAAGAATGAAAGTGTCTTCTACATGTCACACTTCACCCAATTACCCAGTACATTTGTATGCAATACAAAGGATTTTTAAATTTTACATTCTATTAAATAATAGAAAAATCACCCACTCTATTTTATTTTATATGTGGAAGAGATTCATATCCAAGATCTTCCCAAATAATAACAGAGCTCAAACTGGAACTCAAGTCTGTGTATTAGTAAATGAATATTGATTAGTGTAGGGCAAGGGAGATGGTTCTAATGAACACAAAACTGCTTTTATGTCCCACTAGAAAGAGTAACCCAGGAGGAATAGAACCTATGTGGAGGTGGTAGGACTTGACGAGAAGAAAATGGGGGAAGCCCTGCTGAATGAAGTGAGGGAGCCCCTCTTCCCCTATGTACATAGGCATTATTATAATTAGTGTCCATCTTTGATTTTTAATTTCTTAGGAGAGTCATATCTGTTTAGCAGTGTTTTTAAAAGAATACACTAGGTTCTGATGATGATGGTGATGATGACGATGATAAGCAATTCTTTATTGTTAACATTTCCATTTTGAAAATACCTAGAGTTATATTTCATGCATGCCTTGATATATATGAAACCAGATTCTTTTCTTCCTTAAAATATAAATTATGGTATTCTAGAAAGAGCTGAATTTTTAAAAATGTATTATGAACTGGTATATGATTGGTTCATCAATTTGGATAAAAGTATATGTGTATTTTGTTTTACTTTAAAAAGCGTTTTTTGTAGTTCATTTTGGCACAATGACTTGATGTTGTTGTCATGATTCTTGTTGAATTCACAATTCCTACCAAAGTCTTCAGACATTGTAGGAAGTAAATAAATCTTTCTTGGTTTGAATTAAAATGAATCTATATTGAAACATTTTCAAGTTATAGTAAAATTCATCTCACTAGCAGATGAAAACAATGATCTTGGAGTTAGAAGTCTGAGTTGCAAGTTTATATATACTTGATACTGGCTTTTTCTGAGCAAAATTGCTCAGTGAGTGTGAGTCTAGTCTTCTGATTTGTAAATTAAGTATAGTAATACCTACATTACAAGCTTGTTTCCTGTTTTGCAAGAATGAATGTGAGAGAATCTGTAGAATTTAAGGCCCTGGACACATGATGTATTTCCACATATTTCCAAAATTTGTTTTTACAAATATTTAACAGATAGTTGTTAGGCAACTTATTAATCAAAATAGACCTCTCATATGATACTCAGAATTGCCTGACCCTTTCACCCTGACTATGAAAGGTAGGTCAGGACAGAGGGGAGTGTTTCTCAGCCTGCAGAGTATCAGAATATATATTATTTTATTGTATTTTAGGAGGTATCTTTTCCTTGGATGTCAGGCAAATATACTTTAGTGCAGCTTTTGAACGATTAATGTGTTGGCAGTTTAAAATTATTTAACAGGGACATTTTATCATTATAAATGTGTAAATGACATTTAATTGATCTTAAAGGAAATGATTTTATAATTAATTAAAATGATCTTATGTCAAACACTGAAACTAACCCAGTATTTACATTTTTAAAAAATTTTAGAATGAAATCTTGGAAATTGCTCTGGATCAAAAAGGACTTACCAATGATAGAAAAATTGCTTTCATTGATAAAAATAGAGATCTCTGTATCACTTCTGTGAAACGATTTGGGAAGGAAGAACAAATTATCAAGCTTGGTAAAATAATTTGAATACATTTTAAGTTTTAATTGTCAACTTTCTTATATTTACTATAATAAATAATTTGAATGAATCTGGAAATGTTTTAATGTTTTGATCTTGTAATACTTCTTAGCTACTTAACCCATTTTTTAAAGAGTAGGAGTGAAAGTTTATTAAAAGCTTTATTTTAAAATTTTTATTGTGTTTTATTTGAGATAGGGTCTCACTCTGTCACCTGTGCTGGAGTGCAGTGGCAAGATCAAGGCTCACCGTAACTTCTGCCTCCTGGGCTCAAGTGATTCTCCTGCCTCAGCCTCCCAAGTAGCTAGGACTACAGGCATGTGCCACCACATCTAGCTAATTTTTTTTTGTATTTTGGTAGAGACAAGGTTTCACCATGTTGCCCAGGCTTGTCTCGAACTCCTGAGCTCAAGCCATCCACCTGCCTTGGTCTCTTAAGGTGCTGAGATTACAGGCATGACCCACCGGGCCCGGCCTATTCAAAAGATTTAGAGCAGGAAAGAAAGGAAATAGAGTAAACTTGGAAGAGGGCAAGCAGGTAGCTTGAGAGATCAAGTGCACTCTTTGATCTTTGACTTGGGGTTTTATACTTTGGCATGCTTCTGGGGAGTTGCAACCCTTCTGCCCTGATTCTTTCCTTGGGTAGGCTGTCCACATGCCCAGTGACCTGCCAGCACCTGGGAGGGGCCACATGCACTGTGTGTTTACTGAAGTTATACACATGCTCACTTGAGACGTTTTTCCCTTACCACTCCAGTGTTTCTAGAGGAAGTTTGTATACCAATTAAACTCCTCCACCATTTTACCTGTTAGTACGCTTGTGTGAGCCCACTCACCTAGTTCTTGAGATCTTATTGAGAAGCTACTGATTTCCAGTTTTGGCGTTTATATTGAGAGACTACCTTTCCCTGGCACTGGCTGCAACCAATTATTATTTTAGAGAGAGAGCTTAACAACAGCCTGACCATCACCTGATGGTCATCTGACATTCCTGGTGCTGGTGGCAGGGTCCTCTCCTGCCTTGCTCATGTCTGCCTGACTACCTGCTGTAACATTTCCACCCTCAAGAGTCCAAGACCCCAATTCTATGGGGAAAATGGACAAAAGTCAGTCTTCTGTAACTGCTTCCTGCTGACAGAGAGACAGTGGTGGTTATTCTGTGGATCTTGGCCTCTTGCTAGCTGTCAGGGCAGGGTGGCTCCGTGGGTTGGTGAAAGTGGTATACAGCTAGGTCCAAGGGAGACAAGGGAGGACTTCACCTCTGTCATGTCCCACTGACGGGCAGACTAGGGGTCCCCTGTAGAAGAGTGACTCTTGAATATTGAGGGGACGGTATTCCTCACTGAGGATCATCTGGAACTTGATGGCCTGAAGACAAGAGGATTAACTGAATAGCAAGTCTTTAGCTGCTGCAGCTAAATTGTCACTGAAAGAAAGATTTGCAAATTTAAAATATAAGGGTTCTAAGTAAAGCATTCAAATATTTCTGTAAATTATTGTGTGATTCTTTTGTATGTGTTTTTCACCATTATAGAATCAGAAAGTAGAGTCATATCTAACAGAAATTTTGTGGGATTTTGTTTGTCAGGCATTTTAAAGATCTATTCTTAATTCTTACATATTAAAGCTAATAGCACATTAACATTCTTTTTAAATTAAGGAACAATGGTGCATACTTTGGCATGGAATGATACATGTAATATCCTTTGTGGACTTCAAGATACTCGATTTATAGTGTGGTATTACCCCAATACAGTTTATGTGGACAGAGACATTTTGCCTAAAACATTATATGAAAGGGATGCAAGGTAACATTTTACTGCATATAATTCTGTATTGTAGTAAATAAAACTCTGAGTATCATGTTTTTGCTTCTATTTTCAATCCTGCAAGGTGTTTTTCACATCAGTCAGATTTATTGATGAATAAATTGTTTGGCTAAAGCTAGCTTGAGACTTAAGTGACAGAATCAAGTTGAAAGTGTGGTATGATATGAATTATTTATTTGTCCCTTATATGAATATAATTTTCAAGCTTAATATTGTGTAATGGTAGCTCAGGTAGTTTTCTCAGTGTGATCAAGTGATTTTAGTCTAGTCACTCTTAAGATTTTTCAGGATGCACAACCTTATGACAGCTAGCCAACTCTGTCACAGATTATCATTGACTTTAATACTTTCAAGAATGTAAATGTTTGTAGAATTGAATTTTTGGTTGATATTAAAAGTAGGAAAGGACCAAAGTTACTGAAATTTGTTACAATTTATATGCTTCAGAAAATCAAAGCATTTATATTCCTAAATTCTTTAAGAAATAGCAAGGAGATCTCTTATTCTTGACAAAATAGGAATACAAAGGCTTCTTAATTCTAGGCCTTAGCTTAGTTTCCAAATCTGTTTTGAGTTCATTTTTAGTATTCAGATTCAAACCCTTAACAAAACCAGCGAAGCATCAAAATAAAACAGTGTATTTTTAAAAGTATTTGAACTAATGAAAAGAAGTTAGTCACTTTATTTAAAGGTCATCTCTTTATTTATTTATTTTTAGAGTCAAGATCACACTCTGTTGCCAAAGCTGGAATGCAGTGGTGTAATCATGGCTCACTGCAGCCTGGGCTTAAGTGATCTTCCCAAGTAGTTAAGGCTGTAAGTGTGAGTCACTGTGCCTGGCTCACCTCTTTTTATTCTGAGAAAATAGTCTTGGAATTTAGTTTACTTTTTATTGGTTTACCTTTTAATACTTTTAAAAGCTAAAGCTATATTAATTATTGTTGTGATTTATCTTAAGCCTCAGGAAAAAAAAGATGATTTCAAATGCTCTTAGGAATAGCTCTCAAATATGTAATAATTTTTGCTACTTTATATAGCAAGTTATATTCAACTGTTTATATTCAAAGTTAATTCCAGGGAGAATGTATGTATTCAAATAAATACATCGAAGTTTTTTTGAACATATACATTCTCCCCGGAGTTAACTTTTGGGGTTGTGCCTTTTGGAGATTAGAGACTCCTTGTATATTTCATGGTCCACTCCCCAGATTTAATATACATGAAAAATTTTGCTCAGAATACAACTTTAAATTGTACTTTGCTTTTTTTTTCCCAACAGTGAATTTAGTAAAAATCCCCATATTGTGAGTTTTGTTGGAAATCAAGTAACTATTAGAAGAGCTGATGGCTCCCTGGTTCACATCAGCATATCACCATATCCTGCTATTCTCCATGAATATGTAAGCAGTTCAAAATGGGAAGATGCTGTAAGACTTTGTCGCTTTGTTAAGGTAATTTACATTTTAGATTCATAGTTGTATATATATTTCATAGTAGTTTACCTTTGTGCAAAATGAGCAATGATAATAGGCTTAAAGGCTGGAAAATTGTGAATAAGATCATGTCTTTTGTTTTATAAGTAAAGACATGAGCAATACAGAGGAATACATGTTGCTGTGTGATTTATTCTCTGAAGAAGCTATAAAATTTAAACTGTTTTTCCATACTGGCACATATAAAAATCTTCTGTGGAACTTCTTTGAAAGTCAGATTCCCAAGTTCTACTCCCATAGAGATTCTAATTCATTATAGCTGGATTGAGGCCCAGCCATATTTTTTAATTTCCTCAGATGATTGTTTTATACAGCTAAGGTTAAGAATCTCTGCTTTCGATCAGCCTTTTTCCAACTTGGTTGAATCTAGTATTTTTCCAACATGTGTGACCGTAGACCTTTTTAATTGACTATCAGTGAACATTCCTTAGAATACAGTTTTGTGAAATAACTTTTAGATGCTTTTTTTAAACAATGGGTTGTTGTTGGTGAATAGCATCATTGTCTGGGGTAAATACCCGGAGTTTGTCATCTCACACCAAGAAAATTAAGGACGGACACATGTGGGTAGGTTAAGGAGTGGAAAGTGTAATAGGCAGAAGAAAGGAGAGAGGAGAGCAGCTCCTTGCCAGAGAGAGGCATCCAAAAAGGGAAAAGTGGCGGACTGCAACAGATTTCATAGGCAGGCTTGAGGAGGCTGTGTCTGATTTACACAGTGCTCACAGATTGGTTTGACCAGGTGTGACATTTACATAGCACAGGGAAGGCTGGTCACCCCACCCTAATCTTATTATGCAAATAGACTTTGCACTTGGCCAGTGCCATCTTGTCTACTCCTTACTGTACATATGGCTGGCAAAAAGAGAAGATGGAGCTGCCGTTTTGAACATGCCTAGTCCCAGGTAGTATATTGCTATGGGCACAACTACTGGCATTCACTCATGCAAGCTTCCAGTTTGCTTGTTTGTGTCTGCAGCTCTGTTTTACAGGCTGCTCTTTGTTAGAAAAGAAAATGATTTGGGGGCTGCTTTTCATTAAAAGGAAAACCTTATCATGAAGGACTTCTATACCCTCACTATCTGCCTAAATAATTTCTTCTTAACTGGTATATCAGTAGCAATCTGCCATAATATCATTGTCTGATAACTTCACTATTTCTTTGGTTCCCTATAAATTACATTATTTGACACCTCATCAAAAAGACTGGAAGGTTTATAACCTTGAGTTATTATTTTAAATTCAGAAATAAATCCTTAATAACTCAAAATTGAATATTTCAGAAAATTTCTTTCAAAAGTTTTCTGTGTATTAATATATTTTAACAAAATGGCCACAATGAAATTTCCACATTATTAGTTTTTTTCAATGCCATGCTCAGTAATTTTTATTTTTTAAATTAAAATATCATTTTGGTATGAGTATTTAAATCACTGCTTATTTTAAGGCAGTTCAGTCACATAGTTAAGATAATTGTTCTCATACTTCACTTTAGGAGCAAACCATGTGGGCTTGTCTAGCTGCTATGGCAGTTGCTAATCGAGATATGACTACTGCAGAAATAGCCTATGCAGCAATTGGTGAAGTAAGTAATTAACGTTTACATATATGTACATGTGTTTTTTCTTAGCATAATTTGTTATATTTCTGTTATTATCTACTTCAATATTTTTATTTTCTTTTTTTAGATTGATAAGGTTCAGTACATCAATTCTATAAAAAGTCTTCCATCTAAAGAATCAAAAATGGCCCACATACTACTTTTTAGTGGGAACATACAGGAGGCTGAAATAGTACTTCTTCAGGCTGGCCTTGTTTATCAAGCAATCCAGATCAATATTAATCTCTACAACTGGGAAAGGTAATAAGAATGCTTTCCATCAATTCCAAAATCTGTTTGACCTTAATGTATTTTTCCATCTACTACTTAGTAAATTACATTTTCACTGTATTTTAGTTTCTGAACACCACAGAATTTATTCATGTTTATATTTGTGAATAGTTTGCAATTTATTTCTTCTCTGAACTTTTGACTGATTAAAAGTTGGGGTGTGAAGAAGGAGAGGCTAGGATGTTTCCTAAATTTTTGGTTTTAGTAACTGGAAAGATCATGATACCATACCATTTGCAGATTTGGTAGAGAAGATAGTGAGTTTCATTTTAGCCAAGTTGAATTTGAAATACTCGCAAAGAGATATAATTGTTGATTAAATGGACCTGGAGCTCATAAGAAAGATCTGAGCTAGAGGTTTAGTTTTAGGAGTCATTAGCAAATGGATAGTAGTTGAAGCCAGAGAAATGGATGCAATTGTCTGGGGAATGTGTGGAATGAAAAGACATCCACTACATTATGAGATGGATGAAAGAAAAGAAAGACACCAAACGTTATTCCATAAAGCAGCCAGACAGGCAGAAAAAAGAAGAACCAAGAGAGATATATAGTGCTAGGGAAGAAAGAGGAAAGGATTGGTGATTTCCTTACATTTGGCTCTCAGACAGATTGCTTTCTGAGGCAAAGTGGCATGCTGCTCTTCTCTGTGACATAAGAGGTTCCTCCCACTCATTCTCTCAGGTACATGTCTCTCAGTGAACAAAACTATAGTTTTTATATACTCCTGAAGTTACTGTGTTATGGAATTGACGCATTTTTCCAGGTTTGAAATGTCTTTCATGATCTTTGTTTCTGCCTGGGTGAAAAACAACCCCTGTATCTGTCAATTACAAGGCCCTTTACTTAAACTTCCTTAGACTAGAATTTCTATAAATATTTTATCTCTGTCTTTCCCTTGACTGAAAGTAACAAAAATGGCAGATGGTTTATTTTATGATTGACATACTGTAGTCTCCTTATTTAATTTCTGCCTAATGATCTATACTATTCATGTAATTTAGCTACTCTGTTTTTGTCTTTTATTAACACAAATTCATTGTCATTGTTTAGCTGTACAAAGGATCATGAAAGATGTTTTTAGTTCTACAAAAATAAATAGGCTGTGGGGTGCAGTGGCTTACACACTTGTAATCCCAACACTTTGGGAGGCTGAGGCAGACAGATCACAAGGTCAGGAGTTTGACACCAGCCTGGCCAATATGGTGAAACCCCATCTCTACTAAAAATACCAAAAAAAGCAGCCGGGCACGGTGGCGCATGCTTGTAATCCCAGCTACTCAGAAGGCTGAGGCAGGAGAATTGCTTGAACCTGGAGTTCCAACCTGTGCAACCAGACCGAGGCTCCGTCTAAATAAATAAATAAATAAATAGGCCATTATCTTTGTCCTGAATTTATTCATAATTCATAAAGTTTAAGGTAACTAGTTTAGAAAGTATGAATATTTTAAAAATTTTATGTTAAATAACTTACAGAAAATTGTATGTATCATTACCAAGCTAACAGAGTTCTATGAGAAATGGGGAAGAATTGTGTTTATAGCATTCTTTTGACCAGTGTTTTTGAAAAAATATGTTGAAATCATAGACACTGCTCTTGCTATAGTATTCTGAATACTGTACAATTTAATTTAAAAAATTTAAGATAATGGTCTTTATCTTAAAAAACTTATAACCTAATTAGGAATTCCATTTTATTGTCATTAATAATAGTCAAATGTCAGAATGATGAAGAGTATTGCACATAGAATGAATATTAACTACCTACTATGTGAAAGTAATGTAAAATGTTTCTGCTGTTCAGGAAGCATATAATCTGTAAGGGGAAACATAAATATCTGCAAATATAAATAATTAGAGAGAGAAACAGTAATCCAGTAAAAAAATATAAACAATGGTACCAGCAGTACATAATTAACTGCTTGGTGACCATTAATAATCATTTTGCAGCATTCCTCCTTTTAGATTGATGTGGTTCAGTACATCAATTCTACAAAAAAACTTCCATCTAAAGAATCAAAAATGACCCACATATTAATGTTTAGTGGGAACATACAGAGGTTGAAATAGTACTTCTTCACACTGACCTCCACTTATTGAGTGGTTATGATGTGCTAGGAATTAATTGTGCTAGACACTTTCTTTCTTTTTTTTTTTTTTTTATATATCATGTCGTTAGGTGATCTCAGCAACTCCAGAAGTTTAGATATTACCAGCCCCGTTTTATAATTTAGGAGATTGAGGTTTACTTATAAATAAGCACAAAATCTAGGATTTGAACCCCCAAGTTGTCTAATATCAAAGAAGAGCTCAGTTTATCACCAAGCAATCAATTATCTATGGCTGGTACCATTGCATATGTTGTTTTGTTTTTTTTTTTTTGAGATGGAGTCTCGCTCTGTCACCCAAGCTGGAGTGCGGTGGTGCAATCTCAGCTCACTGCAACTTCTGCCTCCTGGGTTTAAGTGATTCTCCTACTTCAGCCACCCAAGTAGCTGGGATTACAGGCTAATTTTTGTACTTGTAGAGATGGGCTTTCACCATGTTGGCCAGGCTGGTCTCACACTCCTGACCTCAAGCAATCTGCCTGCCTTGGCCTCCCAAAGCAAAGGGATTACAGGCGTGAGCCACTGTGCCCGGCCATGCTTATGTTGTTTTTACTGGATTACTATTTATCTCTTTATTTATCTTTGCAGATATTAAATCGTCTTTCCCCTTACAGATTATATGCTTCCTGAAGAGCAGAAACATTTCACATTATCTGTACATAGTAGGTAGTTAATATTCATGCTCTTACTCTCTAGGCAATACCCTTCATCATTTTGCAGCATTCCTCCTCTTCAAACATTTATTGGGTGTAGATACGTGCAGTAAGTGAGTAGGTATCATAGAACAAAGTGAGGAAATTTGCCTCTGTTGGCCTATAATATAACCTTCTGAACATTTCTTGTACCTCCTTGACCCAAATGGAACCTACCTTTATATAAAAGAGAAGGTAGAGAAGAGAACACGACTTCTCTACCAGTCCTCTCAAATGGAGTCAATTTATTCTCTCCACTCTACATTCCTTAGGATCCAGTGTGAGTGGAGTTGGTGTCCTTTTTGCCTCCCTCATCTTTACTTCCCTATCTTATAAAATCTCCAGTCATTTAAGGCTTATATCATGTGTCTCTACTTATTTTTTGATAAGACCTCAAACTTTCCCTGCTATCCTTATATCTTGTTCCCCACGTGCCCCCCCTTCACCTTCCAATTCTCATAAGTGACCTTGACTTGAGATTATTAGATCTCAGGGAGAGGGAAAAGAAGAGGATCAAAGAAGATATAATGAGGAAAGAGAATGAATTCTGGGTGCTCCTGCGTTCCTCTTATCTCCTGGCATCTCCTTTTCCTGTGTTTCTTGTTTTTAGCTAACTGTAAGCCAGTGGGTTGGTCAGGTGCTGGTAGAGATCTCTGAGTCTACCCGATAAGATGATAAAGATCCCAGAGCATTGTTCCTGGATTCTGACCATTATTTATACACTACACTATCTATACACTTAAGACTCCAAAATATGCATCTCTCATCTAGCCTTCTGTTCTGCCCATATTTGCTTCCAGAATCAGTTCTCCAACTGCCTACTTAACATTTCCATTAGATATCTCACATTTTTTAGCTCAAATTTATGTTTATTCCCTCATAAACCTGGTCTTCTTCCAGTCTAATCTATCTTATCATTCTTTCAGCTGTACAAAGCTGGAAATCTAGAAGTTACTTTTGACATTTTCCTCACCTTCCCCCTCCCTATTATCAACCACTTCCCTCCCAAATACCTCTAATACTCATCCACTCATCCACTTCACTACCATTATGTAAGTTGATTCAAGTTTTTCCACTTAATGTCATCACTGATCTCCCTATATCTGCTCTGTCTCTTTCCTACCCATTATTCACTCTGCAGTCATAGTGATCTTTTCACAATGGAAATCTGATCATATCACTCTTGACCTCTGATTCACTTCAATGAAACCCACTTCAGTGAAATTCATAGTTTCCCATTGCTTTTAGCATAAATATCAAGATTGGATAAGAAGAGACTGCAAATATTCAGCAAAAGTAATTATAGCTGCTAAGAAACTCTCAGGAAACTTATATATTATTTTCATTTCTAAGTTCTACAGATATTTCTGAAACAATTTGGAGTATTTGTTCCAACTGCACATTCATTCATTCATTCAACAGATAATTGAGTGTAATCCCGTGGTATCTATGAGATGGGTAAGGATTGGTTCCAGGACCCCCAGGATACCAAAATCTGGAATGCTCAAGTTCTTTATATAAGATGGCGTAGTACTTACATATAACCTATGCACAGGGCTTGAATTTGTTTGCGTGCCTTAGGTACAGGGAAGGCCCACATTGAATATGTGTATAGTAAAGAACTGTACTAGATTTTTTTGTAGGGAGTATAAGGTAATGGTTAAGCTGTGTAACAATTTGAATTTGTTTACCTTTAATTGACTTTCTACATCCAGTTCATAAGCATAAGACCCAGTAGGGAGTGGGATATACAAGTTTAATGTTCACGAGAGAACCTAGACATTGAGGGAAAGCCAGTAAAGGAATTATCAGCCTACAGATAGTAGTTGAGGCCATGAGTATGGCTAAGGTTAATCACGAAAACTTAAGAAAAGAGAGCAGCAAGCAGATATCTGCTGAATACCAATATTTAAGGGTGTGCTTTAAGAAGAGAATTTAGCAGTAGAAATCAGAAGGGATGAAAAAGATAGAATTTAAAAAAAAATTGTTCATTATGGAAAATTTCAAACACATACAAAAGTAGAGAGAATAGTATAATGAATCTGAATGTACCCATCATTCACCCCAACAATGATCAATTTGTGAACAATTTCTACCCTTACCCTACCATTTATTTTAAAGCGGACCCCAGTCATCTCATTTTTTCTGTAAATATTTCAGTATGTATCTCTAAATTTTTTTTAACATAACCACAATATTGTGGTCATACCCTAAAAAGTTGGCAGTAATTATATTCCATGTTCTTATTTCTCTGTTTCACTCATAAGTACTTTGTTTTGTTTTATGGTTTGTTTGAAATAGAATTCAGTAAAGATCCACACATCGTGATTGGTTGATATGTTCTTAAATTTATTTTAATCTACAGCTTCTCCTATTCTTTTTTGTGTTTTCTTGCAATTTTCCCATTGAAGAAACTGGACCTATAGAATTTATCATAGTGTGGACATTATTGGATCTTTGGACAAAGATTGCATCTTTGTGGTATACTTTAACATAGTCTTCTGTCCCCTGAATTAGTTGCATATTGGTTGTTGAATATAGGAACTTGATTAGATTTAGGTTTGTTTGTTTGTTTGTTTGTTTGTTTTTTGGTAAGACTTCATTATAGTAGTGTTATGTTTTTGTAATGACTGGCTGTAGTGGTTTTTCATGGTATTTTTTGTGATGTTAGTAGCCATTGATGATCATTGCCCAAATGTATTAATTTGAGCTTACAAAATGGTGATATTCTATCATTCCAGAAGGATAGAACTTGTTAGATGCTAAATACATTAGATTGTTTTTAATATCCCTGAATTTCTATATTTGTTTAATCCTCTAGAAGGGAACAGATTTTGTTTTGTTCATATGTGATATTCCACTTGAGAAGCATAGTCTTGCTGGTTTATGTTTCTGTCTTTCATATTTGAATTTGAAAATTGCCTGCAACCTAATAAGGTACAGCTCTTGAAGAGTTATAGGTAAGCAAGTTATCTGTTTGCTGTCCACTTTGGACATTTCGTAGTAGTCTGTTCTCAAAAACTGAAGTTGAGAGAGGTAGAAACTAGAAACTCCAAATATGCATATTAATCCTTTATGATCCTTTACGTGCATATTAATAAAAATAATTTCTAATCTACTAGTTATACAAAGTGATTTTGCTTCATTCAAGTTATGCAAAATCATATTTTGAAGTTATAACATCTTTTTATATAACTTCCTTCTATTTAAAATACATGGATTTATTCCAGCCTTAGAATCTAATGTCACATTTGTTTGGTTGCCAAATAACCATTTTAAAATTAGAGACATACTGTTCCCAAAACCCTTATATAATTTGGAGTAAGTTCCCTCCTAAGTGTGGAGAAGAAACATTTTTTTACCCAGTATGTGCTTTTAGAGAACATTTAAAATAGCACATATCATTTGAATGTTTACCCTTAGCCATTGCTATTCAATCAATTGATACATATTTTATTATAATAATAATAATGACAATGATAGATAATTCTTAGGACCTAACATCTAAATGCAGGATTAAACATCATATTCTATTCTTTCTACATAATTAAATGTATTGATGTTTCATACCATAGTATCTCTTTCGAAATTTTGGAAAAGCTCCAACCCAGAATGGATGCTTTTATGTACTCCCCACTGAGAATACTTTCAGTTTTGCACAATCAAGATCTCCTTCCCTCATCATGTACAATCATAAAGAAAGAATGGGAGATGGAGCTTCTAAGGTGACAAAAAAGTAGCTCACCAGTCTCCACTCACACATACACCACTGGAATCAGAGCCTTAGGGATGTACATGGGGGTTTAAATGGGAGAGGGTTAGCAGAACTGAAGCATCTTTACTTCCGTTTCTCCTTTTTTGAGCCTCTGTGAATTGCTTTTTGCCTTCTTTATCTTCCACTTTTCCCTTCTATATTCTAGTAATTTTACATTCTTTTCTGCCTGTTTTTTTTTTTTTTTTTTTTTTTTTTTCTGAAAGACTTAAGGTCACAGAGGAATGAGGGAACTTTGTGAGAATGTGTGATGGTAGCAAATACTGACCCTTGGATTTCACAATATATTATGTCAATATATATATAAGAAATCATTTTGCCTAATTTTGGCATTACCATTTGTATTATATATAACTTACACTCATAATTTTTTCATGTTAAGTGTTTAATATCTCTCAAAAGTCTATCAGTTGTCAATCAATACATACACCGTGTCTAAAATACTTTTTAAAGTGACTATTTAGTTTGATCAATAGTAAGGCAAACCAAGCCAGGCATGGTGGCTCATGGCTGTAATCCCAGCACTTTGGGAGACCAATGCAGTTAGATCACTTGAGGTCAGGAGTTCAAGACCAGCCTGGCCAACGTGGTGAAACCCCGTCTCTACTAAAAATACAAAAATTAATTTGGTATGGTGGCAGATGCCTGTATTTCCAGCTACTTGGGAGGCTGAGGCAGGAGAATTGCTTGAACCCTGGCGACAGAGGTTACAGTGAGCCAAAATCATGCCACTGCACTCCAGCCTGGGTGGCAGAATGAGACTCCATCTCAAAAAAAAAAAAAAAAAAATAGTAAGCCAAACCAAAGCATGCTGAAAATGAACCAGATTTTCCTACTGAAGAGTCTAGTTGCAAAAAATCTAATCAGTAGTCAGCTTTGCTAAAACAAGAGATTTATAATAGTTGGCTCTGATAAATCCTGACTGGAATATTCAGAAGTCATATGTCATATTAGAAAGAAAGAGAACTTGAGAAATAATGTGCTTTTGACAATTATGATGACTGTTATCTTATTTTGAAACAAGATGACAGTGAACAGTGTAAGAGAACTGTCGTCCCCTGAATTGTTCCCGACTCAACTAATATGAGTTATGCACAGGATTGCAGTGGCTGAGGTGCTGTCCAAAACCCACATGTAAAAGTAAGCCTGGAACTGAAGATTAATCTTTTTGTTTTCCTGCAAATTATCGTCGGTGTATATATTTTATGTCTTTAGTTTATACCACTGTTTTCAGCAATTTATTTAGTTCTCATCTACCATTTAAACAAAATATTACTTTAAAAATAACTTGTATAAATATTGATTGAATTATAAAACTTAAATGACTGTCAGCTTTTCCTGAGACTCAGATGGCAAAAGGCATTTTGTCAGACTTCTTAGCCTCAATTTATTATTTTCATAAGATTTTTAATTTGCTATTATAATAATGTAAAGATACCAGTTTTTAAATTTTATAAACTCTGTATAGACTTATGAAAATGATCAAAATAATGGGACCACTTACATTGTGGGGAAGTTCATTCACTTGAATTACAGGATGATTTCAAAAAATTTTCTTTTTTTTTTTTTTTTTGGAGTCTTGCTCTGTCACCCAGGTTAGAGTGCAGTGGCATGATCTCAGCTCACTGTGACTTCCACCTCCCAGGTTCAAGTGATTCTCCAGCCTCAGCCTCCCAAGTAACTGGGATTACAGGCATGTGCCACCACGCCCAGCTAATTTTTGTATTTCTAGTAGAGACAGGGTTTCATCATGTTGGCCAGGCTAGTCTTGAACTCCTGGCCTCAAGTGATCCACCCACCTTGGCCTCCCAAAGTGCTGGGATTACAGACATGAACCACTGTACCCAGCCTCAAAAGTATTTTCAATGAATATTTACCACATATATACTCTGTAGTACTCACCAAAGAGAAATATCTCCCTTCAAGAAGTGTATTACCTAGTGGAGAAAACAGACTCATAACAATTGTACTATAAGCATGCTGTAATAATAGTATATATATATATAAATGGTATGAAGCATAGATAAGATAATAGTCATTTATTTCTACAAGAGGAGCTGGTCAGGGAGAAGAGGCCTCGTTTGATCTGGTCCCTGAAGTATATCAGTAGGAATTTGCAAGGTTGATGAGGTAGAAAATGGCATTTCGTATTGTGGAATAAACAGAGGGAAGAGCCATTTGTCTTACCCCCAACTCCAGAACTCTACTACTCATGGAGTCTGACACAAACAATGTTAATAATCTGTTTTATTTCTCATTATAGGGCACTGGAATTGGCTGTAAAATACAAAACACATGTTGATACAGTTCTTGCTTACCGTCAAAAGTTTCTGGAGACATTTGGTAAACAGGAAACTAATAAACGATACTTGCATTATGCAGAAGGCGTAAGTATTTCACAATTTTGTATAATAATACATACACTTTATAAGTATATGTCATATTCAACCTAATGAGACAAAATGTGAATGATTCAAATTTTGAATCTTTTAACCTCTAAAAGAATTACTTTTTGCCTTATGACATATTATTTTGACTATGTAATTCTAGTACTAAAATTTTTTCTGGAATCTTGCAGGCATGTTTTGATTAACTCAAGTCTGTCATCATAATATTCCATTTGTTCTAAGGTTGGGTGCTATTTGATATTTTTCGATAAATAATATAGATGGGTGGAATAAAAGCTTCTAACTCTTAAATTTTACCTGCCACCAGCTGCCTCTTCTACTGCAGGGGAAATATGTATGCACAGAGGGCACTGACCAGAAAATGCATAGTTGGTCACTCCGTTTTAGAGAGCTAGGTTGCACCTCCTAGAAGTGCCTAGCCTAGGTAGATTTCACTACCTAGAACCAAAGAAGACTCAGCCTTTGCCTCCCAGGCTCCTACCAGCATCTCAGATTTTATTACTCTAATTAGAAGAAAGTAATTCTGGGATGCAGTGGTGCATGCCTGTAGTCTCAGCTACTTGGGAGGCTGAGGCAGGAGGATTACTTGAGCCCAAGAGTTCAAGGCCAGCCTGGGCAACATAGTAAGACTCTTCCTCTAAATAAATAGATAAAAACAAAAAGAAGGAAGTCATTCCAGTATAGATCAGCCCACAAGGAGACCCAGAATGAGTTTGCCCCATTGCCTAGAGCATAACTGATTGTAGCCACTTACCGAGATTATTTTAGGCTCAGACAGCAGAAACAGAGCTCATGTCACTAACCATATAGATCCAAGAGACTTGACTCCTAAAAGCTATGATTACAAGATAGGGCTGACCTTTCTTTCAGTTCTGTGAACCACTTTAGCCTTTCATTCATTCATTTATTCAAAAATTATTTATGATGTCTCACTCTGGCCTAGACACTATGCTAGGGGTTAAAATCAGATACAGCGTCTTGTGTCTCTGTGGAGCTAATAGATTATGTGAGAACACACTTTCTTGGTATAGAATAAAATGGAATGTTCCGATTGATCCTAGGGGCAGACTGGGTTAGAGGAGCCTCAGGAAGAGGAGAGAAGGTAGAGAGAAGGCACCCACAATTTCTATTAAAGCCAACATTATCTACTTACTGTATTTATAATATGTAGTGTCTTGATCTACATTTTTGCACTTCAGAACAATTTTCATGTTAGTGAGACCTTTAAGACCATTCTTAGAGTTTAGCAGTGCAACTTCAACATCTAGATCCAGGATAGCTACAAGTTGTGGATTTCATGGTAGAAAGGAGATATGTTTTATAGAAGATCCACAAACCTTTTTTTGATTTCATTTTGAACCTGTTTAGTACTGAAGTGAATCCTGGGAGTCTGGGCATACTGTACTATTAGGACAAACACAGCATCCCTGGGATCTCTGGGGCTACACTCTGATTCATAGTACATGACAGCAACCACCACCAAAACAGTGCTAAGCAACCCAAAGAACTGTGACACAAAGATAAGGAGATCTGATCTTTGTGTCACAGTTTTGAAAATATGGCCATATGTTAAAACTAAGCACCCACCTTGTTTATTGTGTAATTTTAAAGCAGATTAAGCTACTCTGCTTTTTCCTCCTCATCATCATCAATATTTTTTCAATATTCACATTTGATACTTTTGAGAACATAAGAAATATAGTTCTGATCAGGTGTGGTGGCTCAAGCCTATAATCCCAACACTTTGTGAGGCTGAGGCAGTAGGATCACTGGAGCCCAGGAGTTTGAGACCAACTTAGGCAACATAGTGAGATCCCACCTGTACAAAAAATTTAAAAATTAGCTGGACATGGTGGCTTATGCTTGTAGTCCCAGCTACTTGGGAGGCTGAGGTAGGAGGATCACCTGAGCCTGGGAGGTCAAAGGTGGAGTGAGTTGAGATCATGTCACTACACTCCAGCCTAGGTGACAGAGTGAGATCCTGTCAGAATGAAAGAAAGGAGAGAGAGAGAAAGAAGGAAGGGAGGGAGGGAAGGAGGGAAGAGAAAGAAAAGAAAGTCCTTACTATAAAGGAAATTATATTTTAGATAGCAAAAACTTCTCAACATCCTTATAATCTTTTTCATTATACATATATTCAACTATTACCAAAATATAATACTTTAATCATAAGAGTACCAGAACAACATGGCTTTCTTAGGTATTTTAGGGGTTTTTTTCATCCAGAAACTTTGTAGGTTACTTTGACTCCCTAGGGTACTATGTTCTAGTTTCCTACTTTTCTTCATAAATATCATTTGGAGTTAACTAAAAATCATAAAGCAGTATTTTACGATGAAAAATATTTTTTTTCTTAAAAATTTCATACCAGTGAAATAAAATGTAACCCTAGGAGAATAGCTCTTGGGGATATCTGCATTACTTGCTGATCTTTTGGTTTCATTTAGGTCTATAATCTAGTCATAATATACATCCATATTTATCTTTGCCAGACGTACGATTATATAAACCCTTTATTTCAGAACTAAGAGTTAAATAGAAAAGGGTCACTTAAAAATAACATTGAGAAATTTATTCTAGATATCTGGTGATTTTGGTGGGCTCACAATGCATGCCATCTGGAAATTTAGAAATGAATGGAATCTACCATATGGGAAGAAGTGAGAAGTTTGATAGACACTTAGTTTATGAGCCGTGAAATGTTATTTGGCCATTTCTAGTTTAAAATATGGCAATCTGGGATTCTTACAAGGAGTACTGTTTTCCAAGAACCCTGATATTTAGAGTCATTGTACTTGGTCTACAATAGTGTTCTGTAAATATTTATAAGACAAATTATAAATCTAGCAAATTAAATCCACTCAAAGTATACATTTATTATACTAAATATATACTCTGCTCAGGAAGAAAAGTAGATCTGAGAAATACTTCAAACATTTTGCTAGGAAAAAGAAAAAGAGTGAAAGAAATCAAACTCATGAGCAGGATTTCAGAAAGTTTAGAATTTTGAAGATCTGAGTCAACACTCTACTTAGGACAAACCACTTTAGGCTTAGCTACTACCGAAAAGCTGCTTTACAGGTTTAACTTTGGAGGAATTGCTAATAGTGAGGAGTTGTTAGCTGATTACTGATTTGCTGGGTAATTATTTATCTTTTATTTATTCAGTATTTATTGAGTGCCTCCTGCAGACAATGTTTTCTCCTTAGTGCTTGGGATATAATAGTAAATGTGACAGACACTGGCCCTGGCTTTATGAAGTTTATATTCAAATGGAGGTGACAGTCATATAGGTAATTGTTCATTTCAATTGTGGTAATTGCCTTGAAGGAGATGTATGTGGTGCTCTAAGACTTTATGAATGGGAGTCCTGACCTAGAGTGAGGCAATCAGCAGAGACTTTTCTAGCAAAGCATATGATATTTGAACTCAGCCCTAGAGGATGAATAGTAGAAGCTCACTGCAGGGTAGAGGTTGGGTGGGAGATGAGGATTACAAGTTCCAGGCAGAGGGAAGGCTTTGAAGTAGGAAAGAGTAAAAGTAATGGAGGGGTTGACTTTAGGGTTTCATAGGGCAAATTAAATAAAGAGAAGCCATTGGAGGTAAATAGCATGATCCCTTTTCCCTTCTAAAATCCTGATTCGGCCAGGCGCAGTGGCTTATGCCCATAATCCCAGCACTTTGGGAGGCCGAGATGGGAGGATTGTTTGAGTCTCAGAGTTTGGAGACCAGCCTGGGCAACATGGCAAAACCCTGTCTCTACCAAAAAAAAAAAAAAAAAAAAAAAAAAAAAGTTAGCTGGGCATGGTGTTGTGCACCTATAGTTCCAGCCACTCTGGAAGCTTAGGTGGGAGAATCACTTGAGCCCAGGAGGCAGAGGTTGCAGTTAGCTGAGGTTGCACCACTGCACTCCAACCTGGGCCACAGAGTGAGACTCCACCTCAAAATAAAATAAAATAAAATGCTGATCTCTGGCCAGGCACAGTGTCTCATGCCTGTAATCCCAACACTTTGGGAGGCTGAGGTGGGAGGATTGGTTGAGTCTAAAAGTTTGGAGACCAGCCTGGGTGACATGGCAAAATCTTGTCTCTACAAAAAATAAATAAATTAATAAAATAAAATAAAAATAAAAATAAAATTAACTGGGCATGGTGGCATGCACCTGTAGTTCCAGCTACTCTGGAAACTTAGGTGGGAGAATCACTTGAGCCCAGGAGGCAGAGGTTTCAGTGAGCCAAGGTCATGCCACTGCACTCCAACCTGGGCAACAGAGCAAGACTCCATCTCCCGAAAAATAAAATCCTGATTCCTGGCTGCGCACAGTGGCTCACGCCTGTAATCCCAACAGTTTGGGAGGCTGAGGTGGGAAGATCACTTGAGCCCAGGAGTTCAAGACCAGCCTGGGCAATATAGTGAGACCTTGTCTTTACTAAAAATAAATAGGCTGGACACGGTGACTCACACCTGTAATCCCAGCACTTTGGGAGGCTGAGGTGGGCAGATCATGAGGTCAGGAGATCGAGACCATCCTAACACAGTGAAACCCCATCTCTACTAAAAATACAAAAAATTAGCAGGTGTAGTGGCATGCACCTGTAGTCCCAGTTACTTGGGAGACTGAGGCAGGAGAATCACTTGAACCTGGGATTTGGAGGTTGCAGTGAGCCAAGATCATGTCACTGCACTCCAGTATGGGTGACAGAGTGAGACTCCGTCTCAAAAAATAATAATAATAAAATAAAAATAAATAATCAATAAAATAAAATCCAGATTCCTAAAAATAAATGGAAACAATAGTTTTTACAAAATTATCTTAAGATTTTGCTAGTCAGTTGAAGGAGATGATAATAAGAGCAAATGTATGAGTTATTGTATGAATGAGGAAGAATCCCGAGTGACTGCTCTGGGCCCTGGGTGGTTGGAATACTGGTTGGGAAAAGACACTGAAAGATCTTAGTACCAAGCTAAGAGAATAGACTTCGTAATGAAAGCAATGAGAAGACTTGGAGATTTGTAATCAAGAGAATGACTTGAAATATAACGTCAGACGTGAAAGATAGCTTAGAGGAGAGCGTGATGACTAGGAGAATAGTTAGGAAGTTACTATAATAATCCCACTAGGAAATGGAAAGGGTACGATTAATGTAAGAAAAATTTTAGAAGTAAAATTAAGAGAACAGTTGTGGCTGGGGGTGGGAGGAGAGTTGGTGAGGTAAGACAAGGCATTTGAGAATGACTTCAACATTTCTAGTGTGGGCAGCTGATAGATGGGAATGCCATTAATCTAAAGAATACATAAGAATATACACATTTTGGACCTTTGAGTTTGAGTACATGAAAATATACCGTTTTGTATGTGTTTAGAGTGTCTATTAGGTGTCCAGAAGGAGGTGTCTAGAAGGCAATTAGAAATACAAATATGAACACAAAAGGATATTAACAAGGGAGAAACAAGGGCTAGAAAACTAACTTTATTGCCTTGATCATCTAGGTATAGTTGAAGCTATAGGAATTGATATTTCTTAGGGAAAGTGTGAGAAAGCTTTGGTTGGACGCTGGTGAATATTAACAGTTAAGAGGTTGTTGAAGGAAACCAAAATATGACACCCCAAAATATGCCTCTTGGAGATGTATATTTTTGAGCTAAAGACAATTAAGCAGCAGCAAATAGAAGAGCTCTATTCTCCCCCTTTTCCTCCTACAGACAGAATATAAATTCTCCTTTACTAGAGACAACTCTTGTCAGCTCAGAGACGACTCCAGAGAAATCTACCAAAAAACCTTACTGCATGGCTGTGCGTGGTAGCTCACCCTTGTAATCTCAGCACTTTGGGAGACCAAGGCAGGAGGATCACGTAAGCCAAGCCCAGGAGTTCAGGACAAGCCTGGGTAACAAAGTGAGACCTTGTCTCTTCAAAAAATTTTAAAAATTAGCTAGGTGTGATAGCATATGCCTGTGGTCCCAGCAGGAGGTCAAGGCTGCAATGAGCCATGTTTGGGCCACTGCACACCAGCCTGGGCGACAGAGCAAGACCCTGTCTCAAAAATAGAACAAACTTCACTTGATTAGTTTCTTCCCATATATTTTTTTCCCGTGGTTTCCAATCTCTGGAAGCCTAAAACTGCTTTCACTTCTCTAAAAACAGTCTTGTCACATCTTTAAAATTTATTGTTCTTTGTTGAAAATGCTATGTAAGCCAGAGTTCCAAGACGCTGTTTTGAGTTACCTTTCATTGAGATTTTTCCTGCTGTGATGTACACTGCACATATTATTGTACTGGCTTGTTTTTCTCTTTTTAATCTGTCTTTTGTTACAGGGGTCTGTCCCATCAGTAAACTTACAAGCGTTGAGGAGAAATTATATTTCTTCTCCAACATTGTCTAGGGAGCAGAATGTAGGGGAAAAAAGAGAAAGAAGCAGTATTTAGAAAGGAGAGCAGAAGCCAGAAGAGAGTGGTATTATACAGTCTGAGAGATTTTTCAAAGAGCAGTGGTCAGCAAGGTCCAGAGAAGGCTCTTATCCCAGGGCCATCCGTGTATTTCTCCATATCACCATGCCCTTCCCCAGATATACACATGGGTTCACTCACTCATCTCCCTCAAGTCCCCTTTTTTTTTTTTTTTTTTTTTTGAGACAATGTCTCACTTTGTTGCCCAGGCTGGAGTGCAGTGGCACAATGACAGCTCACTGCAGCCTCAACATATCAGACTCAAGCAATCCTCCCACCTGAGCCCTCTAAGTTGATGCGACTCGAGATGAATGCCACCAAGCCCAGCTAATTTTTAAATTTTTTTGTATAGACAGGGGCTCACTATGTTGCCCAGGCTGGTCTCAAACTCCTGGGCTCAAGCAATCCTCTTGCCTTGGCCTCCCGTCAAGTAAACTGATGACATTGCAACCTCCTATTCTATTCCTGGTGCTCACTATCTCCCTTCTCTATTTTCAAAATCTTTACCGCTTCTGGCATACTAGATATATTTTTTGTTTTATTTATTATCTGCCTCTTCCATTTTTATCTGTCTTTGTTTATTATCTCTCTATGAAGACAGTGGTTTTTATTTTTTTGTTCACTGGTGAATCCTTGTATGTCAGACAATTCTTGATATATACTAAGCACTAAATATTTGTTGAATGAAAAATTGAATCATACAGAGAAGGTATATAGGATAGGGACTGAAAACAGCTGATGGTGGCTTTAGTGCAAAGTTCCTAAAGTGTCACAGGATCAGAATTATAGTGGACTGGGAAGAGAAGGAGAGTCAGGAATGAGAAGAGTAAGGGATGGTAGCTTGCAGGGAGAAGACAGAATAGAGAGCCAAGGATGATGAGAGCGAGCCATTGAAAAGAAGGACACTTAATGTGTGAGGAATAATTGAAGTCAAATGTCCTAGAGGAGTCAAAGAAAATGGAATCAGGGACATATGTTAAGAGGTTGGCCTGAGACGGAAGAGAAAGATAATGATGGGTGTAAACACAGGTAAGTTCATGAATGCAAGGAAGGAAAATAAAGTGAATTCATACCTGATGGCCACTATATTCTCTGTAAAGTAGGAAGCTGATCTTCAGCTGAGAGGAAGAGAAATGTGTTAGAGGATGAAGAGCCTTTTGGTATGATTTTGAAATTGTGTCTATGTGAGTAAGAATTGGCTAGTAAGTAGAATAAGGAGTGCCAGATAATATTGGCACTCCCTATGCAAGCAGAAGATGGATTTTAGTGTAGAAATCACTTGACAACTATCAGAGAACATTCTTATCTAAAACCTGCTATTAAAAATATTCTAATCCTAGAACTAAATTATCTGCAGAACACTTTTTAAAACTGGGTCAATGCCAAAGTGAAAGTGAAACATTTATTTTCAGTAGGACAGCTATCCACTGACACCCTCATTTGTAGTATAACAAGTAACTAATACAGATATCATCAATTTACTTGCAACAGAGCAACAGTTGTTCAGTATACTATCAATGTATGTTTTTATTGTGATTGATTTGAGAAATGTATGTAAGTCAATTTAAGGCTGGAAGAAACCCAAAGCATTCATCAAGTTTCATCTTCTCTGTTTTGTTAGACATAGAAAGGAGTGCTTTGCCATTTAAAAAATATCAGATTTTGCCCTGATTGAAAAAATGAGTCTTTCAAATAATCTAACATCTGGTTGGCTTTTCAGTGAGCTGTCACTTGCATCTTAACACAGACATTTTTCTTCTATGAGTAAGAGGAATTCTTTTATTAATCCATCTATTTTATGTATTATACGTAAGTGTATGGCATTGTTTTTTTAAATAAAGGTGAGCCTCCCATTATTATTGTATGGGAGTCTAAGTCTCTTTGTAAGTCTCTAAGGACTTGCTTTATGAATCTGGGTGCTTCTGTATTGGGTGCATATATATTTAGGATAGTTGGCTCTTCCTGTTGAATTGATCCCTTTACCATTATGTAATGGCCTTCTTTGTCTCTTTTGATCTTTGATGGTTTAAAGTCTGTTTTATCAGAGATTAGTATTGCAACCCCTGCTTTTTTTTGTTCTCCATTTGCTTGGTAGATCTTCCTCCATCCCTTTATTTTGAGCCTATGTGTGTCTCTGCATGTGAGATGGGTCTCCTGAATACAGCACACTGATGGGTCTTGACTCTTTATCCAGTTTGCCAGTCTGTGTCTTTTAATTGGAGCATTTAGTCAATTTACATTTACGGTTAATATTGTTATGTGTGAACTTGATCCTGTCATTATGATATTAATTGGTTATTTTGCTCGTTAGTTGATGCAGTTTCTTCCTAGCATTGATAGTCTTTACATTTTGGCATGTTTTTGCAATGGCTGGTACCGGTTGTTCCTTTCCATGTTTAGTGCTTCCTTCAGGGTCTCTTGTAAGGCAGGCCTGGTGGTGACAAAATCTCTAAGCATTTGCTTATCTGTAAAGGATTTTATTTCTCCTTCACTTATGAAACTTAGTTTGGCTGGATATGAAATTCTGGGTTGAAAATTCTTTTCTTCAAGAATATTGAATATTGGCCCCCACTCTATTCTGTCTTGTAGAGTTTCTGCCTAGAGATCTGTTGTTAGTCTGATGGGCTTCCCTTTGTGGGTAACTCGACCTTTCTCTCTGGCTGCCCTTAACAGTTTTTACTTCATTTCAACTTTGGTGAATCTGACAATTATGTGCCTTAGAGTTGCTCTTCTTGAGGAGTATCTTTGTGGCGTTCTCTGTATTTCCTGAGTTTGAATGTTGGCCTGCCTTACTAGGTTGGGAAAGTTCTCCTGGATCATATCCTGAAGAGTGTTTTCCAACTTGGTTCCATTTTCCCCCTCACTTTCAGGCACCCCAATCAGACGTAGATTTGGTCTTTTCACATAATCCCATACTTCTTGAAGGCTTTGTTCATTTCTTTTTCCTCTTTTTTCTTTAGACTTCTCTTCTCACTTCGTTTCATTCATTTGATCCTCAATCGCTGATACTGTTTCTTCCAGTTGATCGAGTCGGTTACTGAAGCTTGTGCATTTGTCACGTATTTCTCGTGTCATGGTTTTTATCTCTGTCAGTTCATTTATGGCCTTCTCTGCATTGATTATTCTAGTTATCCATTCTTCCATTCTTTTTTCAAGATTTTTAGTTTCTTTCTGCTGGGTACATAATTCCTACTTTAGCTCTGAGAAGTTTGATGGACTGAAGCCTTCTTCTCTCAACTTGTCAAAGTCATTCTCCGTCCAGCTTCGATCTGTTGCTGGCGATAAGCTGCGCTCCTTTGGAGAGGGAGATGCACTCTTATTTTTTGAATTTCCCGCTTTTCTGCCCTGCTTTTTCCCCATCTTTGTGGTTTTATCTGCCTTTGGTCTTTGATGATGGTGACGTACTGATGGGGTTTTGGTGTGGGTGTCCTTTCTGTTTGTTAGTTTTCCTTCTAACAGTCAAGACCCTCAGCTGTAGGTCAGTTGGAGATTGCTTGAGGTTCACTCTAGACCCTGTTTGCCTGGGTATCAGCAGCGGAGGCTGCAGAAGATAGAATATTGCTGAACAGCGAGTGTACCTGTCTGATTCTTGCTTCGGAAGCTTCATCTTAGGGGTGTACCCCGCTGTGTGAGGTGTAGGGTGTCGGTCTGCCCCTAATGGGGGATGTCTCCCAGTTAGGCTACTCAGGGGTCAGGGACCCACTTGAGCAGGCAGTCTGTCTGTTCTCAGATCTCAACCTCTGTGTTGGGAGATCCACTGCTCTCTTCAAAGCTGTCAGACAGGGTAATTTGCGTCTGCAGAGGTTTCTGCTGCTTTTTTTTGTTGTTTAGCTGTGCCCTGTCCCCAGAGGTGGAGTCTACAGAGACAGGCAGGCTTCCTTGAGCTGCAGTAGGCTCCACCCAGTTCGAGCTTCCCAGGGGCTTTGTTTACCTACTTAAGCCTAACACCCCACTGTGAACATTAGACAGATCAACGAGACAGAAAGTTAACAAGGATATCCAGGAATTGAACTCAACTCTGCACCAAGCGGACCTAATAGACACCTACAGAACTCTCCAACCCAAATCAACAGAATACACATTCTTCTCAGCACCACATCACACTTATTCCAAAATTGACCACATAGTTGGAAGTAAAGCACTCCTCAGCAAATATAAAAGAACAGAAATTATAACAAACTGTCTCTCAGACCACAGTGCAATCAAACTAGAACTCAGGACTAAGAAACTGAATCAAAACCACTCAACTACATGGAAACTGAACAACCTGCTCCTGAATGACTACTGGGTACATAATGAAATGAAAGCAGAAATAAAGATGTTCTTTGAAACCAATGAGAACAAAGATACAACATACCAGAATCTCTGGGACACATTTAAAGCAGTGTATAGAGGGAAATTTATGGCACTAAATGCCCACAAGAGAAAGCTGGAAAGATCTAAAATTGACACCCTAACATCACAATTAAAAGAACTAGAGAAGCAAGAGCAAACACATTCAAAAGCTAGCAGAAGGCAAGAAATAACTAAGATCAGAGCAGAACTGAAGGAGATAGAGACACAAAAAACCCTCCAAAAAATCAATGAATCCAGGAGCTGGTTTTTTGAAAAGATCAACAAAATTCATAGACCACTAGCAAGACTAATAAAGAAGAAAAGAGAGAGGAATCAAATAGATGCAATAAAAAATGATAAAGGGGATATCACCACCGACCCCACAGAAATACAAAGTACCATAAGATAATACTATAAACACCTCTATGCAAATAAACTAGAAAATCTAGAAGAAATGGATAATTTCCTGGACACTTACAGTCTCCCAAGACTAAACCAGGAAGAAGTTGAATCCCTGAATAGACCAATAGCAGGCTTTGAAATTGAGGCAATAATTAATAACCTACCAACGAAAAAAGTCCAGGACCAGATGGATTCACAGCTGAATTCTACCAGAGGTACAAAGAGGAGCTGGTACGATTCCTTCTGAAACTATTCCAATCAATAGAAAAAGAGGGAATCCTCCCTAACTCATTTTACGAGGCCAACATCATCCTGATACCAAAGTCTGGCAGAGACACAACAAAAAAAGAGAATTTTAGACCAATATCCCTGATGAACATCGATGCAAAAATCCTCAATAAAATACTGGCAAACCGAATCCAGCAGCACATCAAAAAGCTTGTCCACCATGATCAAGTGGGCTTCATCCCTGGGATACAAGGCTGGTTCAAAATACGCAAATCAATAAGCGTAATCCAGCATATAAACAGAACCAAAGACAAAAACCACATGATTATGTCAATAGAGGCAGAAAAGGCCTTTGACAAAATTCAACAACCCTCATGCTAAAAACTCTCAATAAATTCGGTACTGATGGAACGTATCTCAAAATAATAAGAGATATTTTTGACAAACCCACAGCCAATATCGTACTGAATGGCCAAAAACTGAAAGCATTCCCTTTGAAAACTGGCACAAGACAGGGATGCCCTCTCTCACCACTCCTGTTCAACATAGTGTTGGAAGTTCTGGCTAGGGCAATCAGGCAAGAGAAAGAAATAAAGGGTATTCAGTTAGGAAAAGAAGAAGTCAAATTGTCCCTGTTTGCAGATGACATGATTGTATATTTAGAAAACCCCATCATCTCAGCCCAAAATCTCCTTAAGCTGATAAGCAACTTCGGCAAAGTCTCAGGATACAAAATTAATGTGCAAAAATCACAAGCATTCTTATACACCAGTAACAGACAAACAGAGAGCCAAATCAGGAATGAACTTCCATTCACAATTGCTTCAAAGAGAATAAAATACCTAGGAATCCAACTTACAAGGGATGTAAAGGACCTCTTCAAGGAGAACTACAAACCACTGCTCAGTGAAATCAAAGAGGACACAAACAAATGGAAGAACATACCATGCTCATGGATAGGAAGAATCAATATCGTGAAAATGGCCATACTGCCCAAGGTAATTTATAGATTCAATGCCATCCCCATCAAGCTACCAGTGAGCTTCTTCACAGAATTGGAAAAAACTGCTTTAAAGTTCATATGGAACCAAAAAAGAGCCCACATTGCCAAGACAATCCTAAGCCAAAAGAACAAAGCTGGAGGCATCACGCTCCCTGACTTCAAACTATACTACAAGGCTACAGTAACCAAAACAGCATGGTACTGGTACCAAAACAGAGATATAGACCAATGGAATAGAACAGAGCCCTCAGAAATAATACCAAACATCTACAGCCATCTGATCTTTAACAAACCTGAGAGAAACAAGAAATGGGGAAAGGATTCCCTATTTAATAAATGGTGCTGGGAAAATTGGCTAGCCATAAGTAGAAAGCTGAAACTGGATCCTTTCCTTACTCCTTCTATGAAAATTAATTCAAGATAGATTAGAGACTTAAATGTTATACCTAATACCATAAAAACTCTAGAAGAAAACCTAGGTAATACCATTCAGGATATAGGCATGGGCAAGGACTTCATGTCTAAAACACCAAAAGCAACGGCAACAAAAGCCAAAATTGACAAATGGGATCTCATTAAACTAAAGAGCTTCTGCACAGCAAAAGAAACTACCATCAGAGTGAACAGGCAACCTACAGAATGGGAGAAAATTTTTGCAATCTACTCATCTGACAAAGGGCTAATATCCAGAACCTACAAAGAACTCAAACAAATTTACAAGAAAAAAACAAACAACCCCATCAAAAAGTGGGCAAGATATGAACAGACATTTCTCAAAAGAAGACATGCATACAGCCAACAGACACATGAAAAAATGCTCGTCATCACTGGCCATGAGAGAAATGCAAATCAAAACCACGATGAGATATCATCTCACACTAGTTAGAATGGCAATCATTAAAAAGTCAGGAAACAACAGGTGCTGGAGAGGATGTGGAGAAATAGGAACACTTTTACACTGTTGGTGGGATTGTAAACTAGTTCAACCATTATGGAAAACAGTATGGCGATTCCTCAAGGATGTAGAACTAGAAGTACCATATGACCCAGCCGTCCCATTACTGGGTATATACCCATAGGATTATAAATCATGCTGCTATAAAGACACATGCACACGTATGTTCATTGTGGCACTATTCACAATAGCAAAGACTTGGAATCAACCCAAATGTCCATCAGTGACAGACTGGATTAAGAAAATATGGCACATATACACCATGGAATACTATGCAGCCATAAAAAAGGATGAGTTTGTGTCCTTTGTAGGGACATGGATGCAGCTGGAAACCATCATTCTCAGCAAACTATCGCAAGAACAGAAAACCAAACATCACATGTTCTCACTCATAGGTGGGAAACGAACAATGAGATCACTTGGACTCGGGAAGGAGAACATCACACACTGGGGCCTATTTTGGGTAGGGGGGAGGGATTGCATTGGCAGTTATACCTGATGTAAATGACGAGTTGATGGGTGCTGACAAGTTGATGGGTGCAGCACACCAACATGGCACAAGTATACATATGTAACAACCCTGCACGTTATGCACATGTACCCTAGAACTTAAAGTATAATAATAAAAAATAAAAATAAAAAAATAAAGGTGAGCCAAAATATTTACAAATTGCTTCACAGCAATTCAGATATGGGATATTGGAATTTAAAAAAAATACATAATTTCTTTAACCTCAATCATAAGATAAAAGAGGCACGAAGTCCTATTAAAGTTAAATTAACCCCTCACTTAAGATAAATCTGTTCAAGCCGACTGAGAGTCCCTCAGTCTTCTTTAATGCTACTTATTCCATTCAGCTCCCCTAAACAGAGGTGAAAACCTCTTTACTTTTGGCTCAGGCTCAGGGGTTTGGATTTATTTCCTGTAAATCAGAATTAGTTTAATCTATGACCCAATTTTTTCCATATCTTGCCTCAGAAAGGATAAACATTCCTAAACTAGTGATCTCCAAACTTTGTTAAGTGGTAGAATGTGCTTTCCTAAACAAGTTGCTCATAGAACTCAGGGGCAGAGTCTATTCCTAGTAAGTCTAATGAACTTAGGAGAGGAATAGGGCTGGGCTAGGGGAGGGGAGACTGCATAACGGATAGAAGGGAAGCAAACAAATAAAAATGTGTGTATTTTGCAATTATTCTTTTCATGTGTTTCCCAGTCTTGCTTTCCCTTCGCTTTCTCTAACATCTTTTCCTCATTGTCTTAATGACCACCATGTCTTACTTTAAGAGTTGGTGCAAAGGAGTCACTTTCACAGAATATGCTTAGGGGAAGCTAAGGAATCCCCGTCTTTCCTCATAACTAGGCTTCCGGTGGAAACTTCAGTTTATAAGATGTGAAACCTATTTGAAAAACGGCTTGGTAACCAGAGTCCTGTCCGTTTTTTCCTCGTTTGGAAGACGGCAGTCCATCTCATCCCCTACCTTGTCCCTGAGCACCTGTGCACAATCCTAAGGCTCCATGGGACTGTTTAGATGCATCTTTATAAATAGCTGTGACTAGATTTTGGTCTTTTGAATCACAATGAGAGTCTTTGCTTTTTATTATATAATTCTTATTTTTTGGTCTTATTCTTAAAACTACTTTGTGGTTTTTGAGCATTATTTGTTTTTGTTTTTTTGAGACAGGGCCTTGCTCTGTCACCCAGGCTGGAGTGCAATGGTGCGATCACCGCTCACTGTAGCCTTGACCTCGAGGGCTTAGTTGATTCTCCCGCCTCAGCTTCCCTAATAGCTGGGACTACAGGTGTGTGGCACCACACCCAGCTACTTTTTTTATTTTTTGTATTTATTTTCCCGTGTCGGAATATTGCCATGTTGCCTAGGATGTTGTCAAACTCCTAGACTCAAGCAATCCACCCACCTCAGCCTTCCATAGTATTGGGATTACAGGAGTAAGCCACTATGCCTGGCCAAGCATTATTTCTTCTTCTTAACTTTGATGTTCTCTTTTTCTCTAATCTTTTGGAAGTCATACATTCTATCTATTTACTCTTGGTTACTTTGGAGTAAACAAAAATGTCTTATACTATCTAAGCATATTTCTTCTTTTTTTTTTCTATTGCAGCTCCAAATAGATTGGGAGAAAATCAAAGCCAAAATTGAGATGGAAATTACAAAAGAAAGAGAGCAATCATCAAGCAGCCAATCCAGCAAGAGTATGGGTCTAAAGCCCTAAATGCCATGCTTGTCTTTAAGAAGTTTTATCTTTTGAAATAATTCTGATTAACCAAGGGTAAGCATGTTTTGGTTGCTGAAGAAAAAAGCATAATCTTTAAATGAGTATAAGTACTTGCTGTGTATTTAACGTAAAAGTACATTCAGAAAGATGAAACACAAAGTAACTGATGTATTTCTATCTTTTATATTTTTTAGTCCAATAATTAGCAAAATGTTACTATATACATAAGATATACCTGTGTAGTGTTGATTATATTTCAGTTTTTTGCCCATTACTTCATCCCTAAATCTTCAGCATGAACAAATATTGATGTTGATAATAAAACAATGGACTCTTTGAAATGTATGTTACCATTAATTTCTATTTGACCTCTAAATTGTAAAGTGCCTCCAAAAGTTTATTTATTTATAGAACAAAAATACATGAGGATGGATTTGTACAAATGTATAAAATGCAGCTATTTATACACCAAGTTCATAGCAGCATTACTGGAATAGCAAAAGATGGAAACAACTCAAGTGTCTATCATGAATGGATAAACAAGTGTGCTATAATACATGCAATGGAATATTATTTAGCCTTAAGAAGGAATGAAATTCTGATAAATGCTACCTCAGGATAAACCTTGAAAACACTATGCTAAGGGAAATAAGCCAGATACAAAAGGTCAAATAAGATGCCACTTTTATGAGGTGCCAGCAAAGGCAAGTTCATAGAGACAGAAAGGAGAATAGTGGTTACCAGGGACTGCAGGCAGGAGGAAATGGGGAGGTTATTGTTTAACGGGTACATAGTTTCTGTTTGGGATGAACAAATTCTGGAAATGGATAGCGATGATGGTTGCTCAACATCGTGAATGTTAATGCCACTGAATTGTACCCATAAAAATGGTTAAAATTGTAAATTTTGTTGTGTATATTTTATCATAATTTCAAAAATATATCTAGAATGGGCAAGAGGTAGTCTCCTCATTCCTCTCTTGACTTGAGAATGGTCAGGCAATAGGCCCTGAAGTCTGAATTTGTGAAAATTTCCTTGGGTGATAAACCTGTTTGATTACTGTTAATTTAGTATATCCCAAAGTTATTACCACATAATCTTTTAAACAATAAAACAAACACCCCTTAGAAAGTCTTCTATAAACCCGTTTCTGAAAATGGTACATTATAGGGTGGGTATAGATGCATATATATGGGATTATGTATGTTACATATATATATACACACAAAGGGATAGAGGGATTACCTCTTTTAACTCCCATTTTAATTACTATGTCTAGGTTTTTTAAATAAAAATATTTTCTTTTTAACATGTTTCTTTTCTTTTCCGGAATGTTGGAATATTCTGTTCTTGATCCAGATGAAATCTGATTGAGTAGTGTACTCATAAGTTGTACTGTTTATATGTTTCCTATATTGTTATATTTCAATGAGAAGTTTAAAATGTTTAAAAATAAAAAATGGTTAAAAGGGTTTTGTGTTATGTATATTTTACCACAATAAATGCAAAAAATAAAAAGTCTGTGTTCTAAACAACGATTCTCTCATATCCTGGAATTCAATCCAATTCTGACACTAACTACCTGGAGTTAGAAACAGGTCCCACAAGTTAAAGGGCAAGGTTCCCAAAAATACTACTATTTATTTATTTATTTATTTATTTATTTATTTTTATTTATTTATTTATTTTTTTTTTTGAGACAGAGTCTGACTCTGTCGCCCAGGCTGGAGTGCAGTGACCCGATCGCAGCTCATTGCAACCTCCGTCTCCCAGGTTCAAGCCATTCTTGTGACTCAGCCTCCTAAGTAGCTGTGATTACAAGTGCCCACCACCACGCCCAGCTAATTTTTGTGTTTTTAGTACAGATGGGGTTTCACCAGGTTGGCCAGGCTGGTCTCAAACTCCTGAATCCTGACCTCAAGAGATCCGTGCTCCTCGGTCTCCCCAAGTGCTGGGATTATAGGCATGAGCCACTGCACCTGGCCTAAGACTGCCCTTATTTTAGACTCCAGCCACAATCGGAGTCCCCAGGCTACTCACACTTGTTTCTGACTTGGCTGCACATTTGGAGGCTCCCTTGACCCCACTTTAAGTTTGATAATCTGCTAGAAAGATTCACAGAACTCACAGAAACACGTTACTTACAATTACAGTTTTATTAAAGTAATACAACTCAGGAACAGCCACGTGGAAGACATGCATGGTCTGGGAAAAAGTTGGGGGAGGGAACGTGGAGGGAACACAGAACATCCATGTCCTCTCCTTGTGGAATCCAGGCATGTCATCTTCCTAGCACATCAATGTGTTCACCCCCTAGGAAGCTCCCCTGAGCCTTACTTTTCTGAAGTTTTGTTTGTTTCTTTTTAAATTAGGATTTCATTACATGGGCATAATTGATTAAAACATTGGCCATGCAATTAAACTCAGTCTCCAGCCCCCTCCTCTGCCCAGAGGTCTAGTGGCTTAAACTTCAATTACGTGGTCAGTTTTTCTGGCAGTCAGACCCATTCTGAAGCTATCTAGACGTTCTCCCCCCAGTAGTCACCTTTTTGGCATAATGAAGATATTCTTATCACTCAGGAAATTCCAAGGACTTTGGAAGATCTATGCCAGGAACCATCCTTCACAAGACCATATATATTCTTCGTATATCACAGACCACCCCCTTGTATTTGACCCAGGATCCTTTATAGCAAAAAGATCGTACCTGACTGAGCTATAACTGATACTCTTAAGTATTTGCATCTCTCCCTGTGTAAGCAAAGCCCAGTCCAGAGTGCCTACTCATGTCAGGACCCATTTGTAGCTCGCCCATGGCCACTGGCATCAGTGTAAGTTGTTCTCCATGTGTAGGGCCTTCTCCCTGGGGAATCTGCCCCTTGGCCATCTATCTGGAGTCTCTGTCTCTCTTTTTGGCAGACAAAACAATTTTTATTGGTGGTTTTTTCCTCAGAAGATGTAAGAGGAACATGTCTATATTCACCCTATCTGTGTATTGCTGCAGCTCCCCAGAGTCATTTTATGGACTCAGGTGGTTATACCAAGTGAATAAACTGGATATCTGCTCATCGACTCCAATCACCTTTTGATGCTGGAAGGGAGGTCCTCTTATGAGCATTGACATGTCTTACGTTAATGCACCACTCAGATTCCCACAATGATTTCCACAGAGCCATGTTGTGTAAGGGCATCCCTTTACTAGACCAATCTCCCATTGCTCTTCTGCCTGACCATATGACCAGGCCACTGGCCACCACAAATGAGTACATAGAAACCCAAACATAAGAATAAACAGCATGCAATACAGCCCACCAAGCTGATTTGTTTTTACATTCTATGCAGGGTGTGCTGGCTCATGCCTGTAATCCCAGCACTTTGGAAGGCTGAGGCAGGGGAATTGCTTGAGCCCAGGAGTTTGAGAGCAGCCTGGACAACATGATAAAACCCCATCTCTACAAAAAAGTCAGGCGTGGTGGCATGCATCTGTAGTCCCAGCTCCTCAAGAGGCAGGATTGCTTGAGCCAGGGAAGTAGAGGCTGCAGTTGAGCCATGATCATGCCACTGCACTCCAACCTGGGTGACAGAGCAAGATGCTGTCTTTTTTTGTTTTACATTTTTTGATCAGAGTAATGATATTGTCTGATCACATTGGAACTGCTATCCATAAACCAAAGAGCTATTTATTGATCAAACAAGAGCTGTTTATGGCATATTGTCCAAGTGATGACAGAATCTGGCAGATCCTTGGGGACTTCCAAAGACAGTCCTAGGGGAAAAGTGTCTACCGGCTGATGAATACACTGCATCCCCCCAGTATGTATTCCTATACAAATCATTTCCACTTTATTATGGAACCCTTCCACTTTCTTCCTCATTAGTGTTTCTCTGACATCAACCCAGACATGATAGATACTACAGGTTTCAAGATTATTTTATGTCCTTCAGTCATAGAGGCAGTTTCAATTAATGTCTGATAGCAAGCTATTAATTGCCCCTCAAATGGGAATTCTCTAGTCCGACATCTAAATGGTCCAGTCGTTGTTGCTGTGAGGCGCTCATAGGCTTTTGCATAAGCCCTCTGCTCTACACAGGGCAATTACACCAAGAATTTGTCCAGACCAACACTCCGGCTTCTATTATGGACTGGGTGGGGTTGGGAATCTCATTCATCCTCGTTTATCCTGTCCAATAAATATGGTTTGATGGGTGGATTTACATGGCTTGTTTTACTGTTGTCAAATGAAAATCATTAGATTTAGAAAATAAGATTAAGTATAGAGTTTATTTGAGTGAAAAACTCGAGGATAGCCACCCAGAAAACACAGATTCTGAAGGAATGGGGTCAGTGCTCTAAAGTGGAGAAGTTAAGGTTTCATTTATAAAGGCAGAGACAAAGAAATTTAAAAGGGTTATAGCATTTTCCATATAAGGTCAGCCCCCTCATGCCAGTAATCTCAATAATTTGGGAGGCCAAGACGGTAGGATAGCTTGATGCCAGGAGTTTGAGACCAGCCTGGGCAATATAATGAGACCCTGTCTCTGTTAAAAAAAAAATAAAAATAAAAAAAATCCTCCAAATTCGGATAAATAAAGCAGACATTTAGGAGTTCTTTTAGTGTTGGAGGCCCAGGAGAGGGGGTCCCATTGGTCCACCCAACCTCCTATAGAGCTATATTAAGATCTTTATTTCAACCCATCAGTGCCCATTTTATTCATCCCATTTCTTAATAACCATCTAAAAATTTCCACCCTACTGGAATGAATCCTTTGTTTCTGCTGTCTCTTCTCATTGTCTTGTTGATTAATGTTCTTGATATCTTTATGACCCACATCAAGAAGCAGAGACAGCAAATCCGATAAGCCTTCTCTCTTGTTGAATTCTGCAAGAGAAAGTTTACATGGGGTGCCCTTGCAAACGGGGTCCCTTGAATCACAGCATTTACCATGACTGAGTAATGGGCATATTCAGTAGATAAATATCCTGATAATCATAAATCCAGTTTCAGTGGTTTGCATACAAAGCATATCAGCCTCTTCATCTGGGCTATTTCCCTTGGCATTTATAGAGAGAATCAGAAAGTCCTTCTCAGGGTAAATACACTCTTTACAGTGGCTTTTATCCAGTCTACCAGGCCAGCTGTTCCCTCTGGAATAACCTGCTGTGTGTCTGGATCACATAAACCTTCTATGATTGTTCCATAGTGAGCTGTGGGTCTTGTATCAATCCAAACATAATCTTCTGCATTGCAGCATTCAAAACCAAAGGTACTGCCCCTAAATTAGATACTCTCACAGTCCACTTTGGTAAAGATTCTTCAGGAGGCTGATAACTATTTACAAAATGAAACAGCTCCTTCACACTATACCTACTGATTTCAGTAGTTTTCTGGGTTTGCCCTCCCACAACATGAAGTACCCTCTTACTGACCAGAGCTACCTTCTGTTGTCCTAGCATAATTGTTCCTTTTGGGGGTTGCCTAAGGCTAGTGGCCATAGCTGAGACTTACCAAAATCTGAGTTTGGTTCAAGGTCAACATCCACCCTAGCATTTTCTTTCACTCTCACTTTAGCTATTATAGATACAGTCAAGGGATTGTATGTTTACTATATTTCTTATTATTTTACATTTCTTTATGTCCCCTGGGAAAGGAAAATAAATCCCGGGACCCCAAAATCACTGAGCCAAAGGAAAAGTCAAGCTGGGAACTATGTCAGGCAAACATGCCTTCCATTTTATTCCTAAATAAGATAGTTGCAAAGAGAAAAAGCTACATACCTCCCTCACAATTAGCCCACAATGAAATTCCTTGTGGACAAAAGACAGACAGAACTCAAAGTCATCCCTCTGAGGCTCACCTGAGACAAATGCGTACCTGATTGCAGAAATCCCATATTTCTCCCCTATTGTTTACGTAAAAATGCGGATTCACTGAGTAAGACTAAACTGTGTATTCAGTGGAAGGCTGATCAAAGGACTCAAAAGAATGCAACCTTTTGTCTCTTATCTACTTAGGACCTGGGAGTCCCTGCCTCAAGCTGTCCCTCCTTACCCGATAGAACCAATGTACATCTTACACATATTGATTGTGTCTCGTGTCTCCCTAAAATGCATAAAAGCAAGCTATACACTGACCACCTTGGGCACATGTTGTAAGGACCTCCTGAGGCTGCATCACAGGGGTGTCCCTAACCTTGGCAAAATAAACTTTCTAAATTGATTGAGACCTGTCTCAGATACATTTTGGTTTATAATTCAAATGATTCCCTTCCTTTGGAGTTGAGTCTACCACCATTTCTAAATTCCACCGATAATTTTTACCTTTGGTAACTGATTGCAGCACAGTGCAATCTCATATCATGGGTTATTAGGTAGCTATCAAGAAACTAGATTCCTCATCTGCCACCCATTCATTCTTTCTTTTCCCAAGCCAAGTTTCTGTGTATCAGGGCCATTCTAGAAATCCCGTATTTCTGACACAAAAAAAATGTGTTCTAACCACAATTCTCTGACACCAGCTGGGTGTCCTACAATTTA